GTGTTTTTAAAAATTGTTTAATTTTATTCCATGTAGATATTGGTTCACTGGTGATGATTGCTGTATATGAGTAGAATTAAAGAAATAAATTAGTGTACTTGAGCGCTAAAATTTTTCTAGTTCTAGATTTTCTACTTATGAGAAACTTCATTAGTCATATTAATTTCAAATCTGCTATACTGATAGTAAGTTGTTCTGATACTTTATTTCTTCATTTATTTATTTAGTTTTGTTTTTCTATTTTGGCCGTAACAAACCCAAGTTTCTTAATTGTTTTCTGCTATTGCTGGGGTTCCTTTTTTGTGTGTTTTTTAAAAATTTTGCCTGTTATGTAATTTGAATGATCTTATTCTAAAAGTTTGTTTTTTCAGATATCCTGCCGAGAATTTAGCTTCCCCAAATACTAAACTTTTAAATTTTTTGCTTGGAAATTGAATATGTTTGTATGAGTATTTCCTTCAAAACAATTTGTTTTTACTTCTCTGAGAAGTCTTGAATTAATGTGTTCTCATTTTAGAAATAATTTAATCCTTGCTAAGATTCATATTTTAAATTTCAGTGAATTTGAAGCATATAATCCTCTTCCCTCCCTGCAACACCCACACCCCATCCCATTATGCTGATAAGGAAAAGTATATGCATTGCCTATTCTAGTGTGTTAGAAATTCTGATTAAGAGATGTATAGATCATGAAAGATAATAGATGATTTTGGATCTTATAAATAATATCTGCTTCCATAGACTGTTGGTACTCCAGGTTCTCACCATAGTAAGCATTTTTAGTAAACATAAAATTTTGTTTCCTAGCCATTTTTCTGAGGATGTTGACCATTTTCCCATAATACTAAATTTAGAACTCTAGAAAATGAAATGTAACTGTAAGAAGTACAGTGTAGACACAATTTGGAGTAAATATCTTAATTTTTAAGGTTCCAGTTCATGTTAAAGCTGAGTCAAAAGCAAGTTAGGGACTTTTTCCCCCCGGATTATTTATTTTATTATTAAGAAAAATTTCCAGTTCCTATTACCATTGTCATCAAATATGTTTACTGAATAAATGAATGCATATGAGAAAAACACACATTTTAGACCAGTCATTTGGAGACTTTTCCCTCCAAACTCTAGTTGGGTTGAAGTGATTCATTTTATCGGAAATAAAAACCTTAACTTGTATTGATTTTCCTGCCTTATAAAATTTTCTTTCAAATCTTTGCATTTCTGTGGTGGCTTGTGAATCTTTCTTCCCAGTTTGGTAATAAAATAGTCGTGCTCTAGGTAAAGAAATTAAGCATTATAAGTTACTTGTAAGTATTATATCTTGTATGCTATATATAATATATTTTTATAGTAGAGGTGCCTTCAGATATTCTGTCTATTCTGTCACTTCAAAGAGAGGCACTGTATTTTCTAAATTTGTTTTTAAAGAAAAGTTGATTTTAAGCAAGGAGAATATCTTCCTCTTCTTCTACCCTTCCCTGCTTCCCTACCCATCCTCCTCCGTCGATTGACCAGTTTTTGATACCAGTTAATTTGTTAATTAGGCCACTAAGAATCTATTCTGGTGGTTTTCTCTATATGTACATAAACTGTTCCTGGATAGAGACTCCATTCACTGGATAAGTATTTGAGTTCCTCCCCTGTGTCAGGCACTCTGCCTGGTGCCAAAGATACAGAGGAGAACAAGACAGACAAGGTTCCTGTCCTCGTGAAGGTTCTAGCTCACTCTCAGGGCAACTTTCCATGCTCTTATGAGGCAGATAGTAAAGAGCAGTCGAGATAAAATGAAAAACATGTAGCACTAGCAAACAAGGAACATGAAATAATAACAATATTATTGATTCTTCTGCGTCTGTTATAGTTTCTTGATTTTTGTGTATGTTTCTTAACAGGACTTAGGTTTGGAATACTATATATTAGGAGAATCTTTTGAGACTTCTGCTCCTTGGGACAGGTAAAATATAATAAAATCCCTGATATTATTCAAATATGGTATATGAGTTGCCGAAATAATATCTTTGTGTATGAATATATAAACTAAAAATTTTATGAAGGAATATTGAAACAAGGCACCTACTTTTATTTAAATTGATGTCTTCAACAGAATGTCATATTTTCAAGCCCTTTTTTTGGTTTGAGGCAAGTTTGTGACACAAAGAATGAAGGTGTTGTTGATATTTACATTTTGAAGAATCTTATTGGACACTAAATGTTATTGTGTGGTTTTACTTAGCTTTGATTAAATTCTTAAGTGATTAACATGCTTAAATGTTCTCTAAAAAGTCTCCCAAAATGATAAAGCCAGTTAACCTTCTTTGGTAATGCCATTTAGGTTTTGATATTTGTATGTGCGTATTAAGTAAGATCTTAACTTACCTTTAAGTGATTTCTGAAAGAAGTACATGGTAAGAACTTAAGTGCAATTTCTAAATTTAAGCTTAATTCGAGTACTGGAGCATATTATAGGAAATAACCCAAATAAAATCAAGGGAAATAAATTTTAGAAGGGTTTTGTTACTGGAAATGCATACACCCACTCACACTCACACACAAATATTGGTTAGGGAATTAATAAAATCTGATTAGGAAATGTGAAATGGTTTTCTTAAAAATGGACTTGTGAGTTGTCAACTCATTCAATAATAAATAAATTATTAAGTAGATCGTTAATATATTTTTATTTTCTTTTAGTATGCTTACATTTTACTTTTTTAAAATAAAATTTACAAAACGTTTAAAACCTACAATAAAATATATAGGTTATAACAAATTCCCATGAATTTACCTCTCAGATATTACAAATCTCAACATTTTGTTCTCTTCCAACCTCTTTTTTTCTTCCTAGAAAACTTTTTACTTTTCTACATTTACTCTTCTATTATGTGTTATGAGTTTTGGCACATTGGTGCTCATATTTTATGCATTGTTAGATATTAACCCAATTTATAGTATCACTCTTTTATTCACAGTTTTTTATGCTAAATTTTAACAAGGGAAATAAATCTTGTGAGTGAAAAGAATTACCAACTCTGACACTTTTTCACAACAGAAATAGTTTGGCAGCTGTTTGTAGTGGTCTTAAAGACCATTTTAATCTTTAATATTTCTCCTTGGTAGGAGTCTTAGTCAGTTTGGACTGCTATACAGAATACCATAGACTGGGTGGCATAAGTGTTCTTAAACAAGAAACATTTATTTCTCACAGTTCTGAAGGCTTGAAGTCTGAGATCAGGGTGCCAGCATAATTGGGTTTTTGGTGAAGACCCTCTTCTGGTTTATAGATGGCCATTTTTTTGTTGTATTCTTACATGGTGGAAGGCAGAGAAAGAAACAAACCCTCTCATCTTTTTTTTATAAGGGCACTAATGTTATTCATTGGGAGGGACACAAACATTCAGTCCATATCACTGGGGAAAGTGGGTTAGTATAGTGTTACCTCCTCAGCGTTATGAATTTCCTTGTCGTCAGTTAACATATTGCCATCTTTTTATTCTTTCAACTGTGGAAACTGACTATGGGCTATCTTTTTATTTTCTTATCCACTCTTTGTATATACTTACATATTTTTTAATTAACTCAGTGATAATTTCAGTATTATGCAGGGTTACATATTTGGTATCTTTTCATTTAAAACATTTTCTTCAGCTGAAGTTTTAATAAATATCATAAATGGAAATGTACTTGTTACTTATTTAGCAACTCGCTTTTTCTTTCAAATCTTTAGCTAGATAGAGACCATGTTTAGCAGTAGCCCATAGGATCAGGGTCTTCAACCCTCACACATTATTAGGTCATTGGCCTTTTCATGTATATAATCCACAGGGAGTTATTGTTCTTTAGTAGTCTTTGTCTGTCCCCAAGTGGCACATCCCACTGTGGCCTTAGCACCATGATTGCACCTGTTAGGTACCCAATGAATATTCTACATAGAGTCCTATGATTGAACTCTGGAATAGTGTCAAATTATAGCTTATAAAAATAGGTGTCTTAAGAGTTGAAGAGTTTAAAGATTTTGGAGACAACAGAAAGAATCTTGTGATTAAAACCAAGGAAGTGGATACAAATACTTACAGATAGTATGGAACAAAGGAAACAAAGAGGGCCTAAGAAAGAAGTCCATGGAATCTCAACATTTAAGGGATAGTCATACAAGCAAAAGCTGGCAAAAGAGACTGAAGAATAATATCTAGAGTATTTGGAAGAAATTCAAGTGATGAGATGTGAGAAAAGCCCAGGGAAGATTTTTTTCAAGGAGAAAATAGTTAACAGTGTTAAATTTGCTGATAGATCAAATAAGAATTATGTTTATATCCTATATAATGATTGGTCCAAATGGACTGTATTGACCTTTGCTCAAGTTCTGTGAGAGAATACTTTCAGAACCCTCTCCCTACAAATCATTTATAGAAAGTGTTGCATTGGGGGTTATAATCATTTGGTCCTATTCTTTCTTCCATAATCTCTTCATGTTCAGCTACCAGTGGAGGGTTTAGATATAAGCAACTTTTAACATGTCTATGTTTTCAATTGCATTTGTGATGATTGGATACATTTAAATGCATTTAAATGGAAATATGGTTCACCCAATAGTTTAATTTGCAAAGGACTATAAAAGCAGATGAATTGTATTCTTAACTTTTTTTTAGACTATGTAGCTGTAGCACTTAAATTTCATTTTCTAGAGCCAAGATAAAGAACTTGTTTGAATTTACAAACTTTTAAGAGTTTGTAAATTCATTAATCCCTGTAAATATTAAAGCTTAGTAGATTTTATTTATGTCTAAAGTGTTTTATAGGTTGGGTTTTCAAAATAAATATGTATTAAATTCCAATAATCTAAATGCTTATGAGATTTTTTTTTAAAACATGCATTTCTTGCCATTCCATAAAAGGCTTAGGTAACATTACATTGATAAATCATATTTACCTGCAGCTCTCATAAATTAAAGCAGAATTTAACTTAAGAGCATTGTTTGGTAAAATTAGGATTTATAAAGGTTTCAGATACTGTATTCATAAAAATAAATTTGACATGCTTATAAAACACTAAAACCCTTTTTGTACTTATATTTTAATTATATATTTTTTATTCTTGGAAATATAGATGATTTTAATGTGTTTTACAAAGCATAATTTGCTTAAATGTTATTGTTTTTATCAAATTGGTTCTCACACAGTCAAATCAGTCTTGAGACTAGAGGTAGGCCAGCTTTTTGAGTTTCTTTGGAGTCTTTTCAATTCTCTTGATGCTAAACAGACCAAGGTTTAAAACACAGAACTAGAATATTTATTGGAGAATAAAATGGTTTTTATATACCTTAAAAGTTTTATTTTCCAGATGAAACAAAATGTGTAATTATAACAATATGTTATAGCTCACATTCAAAAGTAGTTGAATTAAAAAATAGATTAATGTTGGGCCGGCCCAGTGGCGCACTGGATAGTGCGCCGCTTGGGAAGCGCGGTGGCGCTCCCGCCCGAGGGTTCGGATCCCGCATTCAGACCGGTTCCCGCTCACTGGCTGAGCGAGGAGCGGGAGCAACGCCGAGGGTTGCAATCCCGTTGCCGGTCCCCGGTCCGGTACGGGGGCAACACTGAGGGTTGCGATCCGTTGCCGGACACGGAAAAAGACAAAAAAAAAAAAAAATAGATTAATGTTGTTAAATGTTGTCAGTCTCCTTTTCCCTTTAAGGATTATTACTATCCAGTCTAACATAGCACATTAGCACTTTACACATAGTTCATATCCAATAAGTCTGTCAAATTGGATTTCAGTTTGAGAATAGGTTGTTGAGCATTTGATATAATGTCATGATTATTAATTGAATTGTTTTTGAATTAAGGAACACATCTTAACATGGATAAAGATTGATATTCATATAACACAGGATTGAATTTTTATTAACTTGCTCTTTATAGCTTTTTTTAAAGCTCTTAAAATTTTGTAATTAAATTTATTTTGAAATTGGGCTTTGCTAAGTGTAGAAAACTGCATTTAAGAGACTTGAATATGTTCTTCTGACTTCTGTATTTCCAATGGCAAAAGCAAGAAAAGACTTTGGTCCCTTTGAAGTTATCAATGGAGGGCTCAAATCAGATGATCAAGGTTCTTGTTCATTCTTGAAGGAGTAACTGAAAGCTTTTAGTTAAGAGAATTTCAGACTTGAAGGATGCCAGATAAATCAGCATTTATTAGGATTTGTGTAATTTTCATTTGAAAACTTAATATCATGTTCAATGATCTTTTCTAGGGTTGTAGATCTCTGTAGAAATGTAAAAGAAAGAATAACAAGGGAGTGCAAAGAGAAGGGTGTTCAGTTTGCTCCTCTTTCTACATGCCGGTAAGTTTTTAAAATTGTTCTTATACTCCTTATTCTGAAAAACTTTTTAATATATAGGGAAATATGATTTGTCAGCTGAGGAAAAGCTTTCTTGGCAAGCTTTCCTAAACTTTACTTACCACCTTGTTAGAATTGTGCCACTAGGATTTTACTGCAGTCCTGAGCCCACTAGGAATAGGACACTCTTCCGTGAGTAAGCCTTTCATTCTGTCTGGACAGCATGTTAGTGAAGAGCCTAGAGTTCCTGGAGAAAGAGAAGGACTCCTTCATTCACTGGAAGTATGAATTACATAGATAGTCAAGAAACTAAAAATTATACACGTAGTCAACATGGCTCTTCATCAGAGAAAAAAACAACACTAAACATTTTAGTTGATGATGAAATGAATGGGAGTAGAATAAAGGAATGAGAGGAGAAGAAGATTCAAGTGACAATTAACTGAGTCCTTTTTAATAGATCATTCTTCAATAATGAAAATATTCTGTGTCTGTGCTGTTCATTATGGTAGCCACAAGCCACATGTGGCTATTGAGCGATTGAAATGTGGCTAGTGTAACTGTGGAAGTGAATTTTAAAATTTGTTTAATTTTTTAATTAATTTAAAATGCCACATGTGGCTGGTGTCTTCCATATTGGACATTGCATGGTTAACGCAATGATGATCTTGTCCTCTTTGTTGAATAACAGCAGCTCAAAAGGAGGTTTTCTTGAGAAGGGGCACTTTGTGTTCAATTTTTTGGTATTCGTTTTCTGTGTAAACTGGGAGATTAAATGTATGAAGATTGAGTTGAACCTTTGACTTCTGTAAAAATTTAAGGAACTAATTGGAATGGAGAATAAATGGAAATTGGAACAAAGTATGAAACCACAAGGGGAACCTTAAAATAAATGATACAGTAGTAATGTAGCACTTTTAAAACTTTTTTGTATAACTGCCTCACTTTTTTTTTCTCTTTGTATGTATGTGTGGTTTTCAAGAACACATCTCCACTATATATTACAGAAACAACTTACAGTATAAAAATGTTAAAGGTTAGGTAATTTTGGAAATAATGTAATATCTATTATTAACTTCACCTGATACTGGACTTCTGAAACAAATTATGCTTCAGCACAACAGCATTTTCTATATATTTCTGTTTATAATGCTCGTTCCTCTGATTTACCTGGAATTACTTAATCTCAGCCTTGGAAGCAGACCTGGGCTTATTTCTACCAGACCCTGCCTGACAGCCATGTTACCGTGGCAACTTTCTGCCTACTTAAAAAATTTTGTATTCTAAGACTGAATTTGTCTGAAGAATAAAGGCACTGTTCTACTGTTTTTAAGTAATTTAATCTCTTTAAGCTCTAACAATTTTATCATTAATAAAGTAGTGGTAATACTCTATTGTGGTTAGTAGTCTCCTCATAGGACTGTAGTAAGAATGAAATAAGACATATAAAAAAACTTTTAAGCTCTTAAGAGCTATATAAATGCTGTAGTATTATTGTGATGTAATTACATTATGGTTGAGCTAGACAATACATACTAGTATTAGTAAGGAAAATTTAGATATTTTTTTCCTCCCAGTGGCAAGTCCTCATGAAGGCATCCGGTTGTTAATCCTACTTGTTCCTCTTGATATTTTGACATGACTTGATAATTTGCATATATTTGTTTTGCAAGACTAGAATTATTTCTGTATTCTTTAAACTGCTATCTCTTTTGTGTTTTGGGGTTTGTTTTTTTTTTTCTTTATCTTTTACATGGTCTCATCTTGTACTTCTCTACTACTATCTTGTGTTTCTTAGTTCTACTTATTGCTCCCATTGGGAGAGATATCTTTTCTAATTTGCTGCATTGTGCTTTTGCAGGATAAGAAAATATAATTCTAACATGAGATCTGAGGAAAAGTATCTTTCTTATACCTTCACTGTTCATTCCAATTAAAATGATCTCCTTGTAATAGGATCTTTTCTGCTTCTGTGTGGGAGAGACTGTTAGGGTTTAACAAGCATTTGTTATTAACGTGTGTGCATTAACGTGTTATAGAACAAGTGCATTGGTTATAGAATCAGAGACTGTAAAAGCTAAAAAAGTAGATTTTAGAGATTATTGGTTGAGCAATTGAGATATCTGAAGGAAGGGAAAATAGAGGGCTGTTCTATATAATAAAAGCTTATAACTTGGTAAAGTTAACGGTGGATTAGTGATTGACCTTGGAGAAAACATTTCCAAATGAAGGCGTAAGAATGTTACTTTTTTTTTTAATTGGGGGGCATCTTTAAAATGAACCTTTTGTAGTCCTTAAAATTTAATTTAAAAAATCTGTATTTATTTGTAATTATCAACCCAAATTGATACTGGTTCTTCTCTTGACATTCCAGTCTGTCAGGCCTCTTTTATTATAATCCTGCAAACAAATCAGGCATGATAATTCAAAAGCCATTTTTTATTATTAAAGTTTGAAACATTAAAAAAAAAATAGAATCTATTGCGCAGTTGAGAATTTTTTTTTTTATTGAGACATTGAATATATATATTTGTAGGGTACAGAATTGAATATCAATACATGTGTACAAAATGTGGTGGTCAAATCAGGATAATTAGTATACTCATGTTTACAAAACATAATCAATCTTTGTGACCCTTAACTAATTTCTCAACACCCCGTCCCCCATTTCCCATTTTCCCCTTTCCCACCTCTAATAACCACAGTTCTGTTCTCTTTTTTTGAAATTTCAGTGTATTTTTGATTCTTCCTTCTTTCCTCCCTCCCCCCTCCCTCCTCCCCCCCCCAACACTTATGAGTGAGGACATGCAATATGAACAAAGTAGCTAAATAGACATTTCTCAAAGGAGGATATACAAATGGCTCAACATCACTCAGCATTGGGGAAATGCAGATTATAAAACCACGTTGAGATATCATCTCACCCCACTTAGAATGCCTATTATCAAAAAGACAGAATAACAAATGCTGACCAGGATGTGGAAAAAGGAGAACCCTCCTACACTGTTGATGGGACTATAAATTTCTGCAGCCATTACAGAAAATAGTATGGAGTTTCCTCAAACAACTACAAATAGAACTGCCATATGATCCAGCAATTTCAGGAAATCATCATGAAATAATTTTCCCTAAATTCATCCATGTTGCTGCAAATGGCAGGATTTCATTCTTTTTTATGGCAGAGTAGTATTCCATCAAGTATATATACCACATTTTCCTTACCCAGTTGTATACTGATGGACACTTAGGTTGGTTCCAACTCTTGGCTACTGTAAATAGAGCTGCAGTAAACATGGAAGTACAGGTATTACTTCAACATGATGATTTCCATTCCAAAGGAATACCTGTACTTCCATGTTTACTGCAGCTCTATTTACAGTAGCCAAGAGTTGGAACCAACCTAAGTGTCCATCAGTATACAACTGGGTAAGGAAAATGTGGTATATATACTTGATGGAATACTACTCTGCCATAAAAAAGAATGAAATCCTGCCATTTGCAGCAACATGGATGAATTTAGGGAAAATTATTTTAAGTGAAATAAGCCAGGTACAGAAAGAGAAATACTGCATGTCCTCACTCATAAGTGAGAAATTTTTATTCCTTTGTTTTGTCAAGTGGCAGTTTAACTGATTTTACCCTCCTTACTTCCTCGGTCTGCCCCAACTCTGTATTCAACATTTCTTGACAGCCTCCTTCCCTCCATTATGAAGACATCATGGTGGTAAACTGCGACTTATTGAAAATGACTAGGAAGTAAAATATTCTGCCTTAGGGCACAATCTGTAATAACACTTAAATCTAGGTTCTGTGGAAGATGTTCATAAGGCCTAAGAATCTTCATTATGTATTATAGATAGATAGAATTAGTATATTTAGACTGAATTGGCCATATGTCGTATTTGTTAAGTAACTATTTTTTGATAATAATTTTTTAATAAAAGCTTATATGCTCAGTTTCTGAGATCATCTTATAAAACCAGTTTAGAATGGGTGAAGTCTAGTTATTTGAATGGCTTTGGTAAATAAGAGTTTTAAATATATTTCTTATGGTTCATACTTGATTAAGCTAACATTTAGCTAGAGTTTGATTTTAGTTTAGTTTGATTTGAGCTGCTTAATAGTGGCCAAGGAGATTATTCCGTGTTGAATGTGTGAGATGTATTTTTTAAACCTTTTTTTTTTTAATAAAAAATCTATTACAAAATTATTTTAAAATAATTCATGTGTAGGGTGCATTTGTTGAATTCAGTTATTTCATTTTTGTCAGTTAAAAGGTTTTTTGTCCATTGGAGTAGAAATTTCAACCATAAATATCCTGAGAAGTTATATGGGAAGGAATTGTTAGTCAATGAGTCTAACACAAGTAAAGTACTCCAAAAAGTATGGAACACAAAAAATTTTTAGAAATTAAAAAATAATGTAGTGACTTTGACAACCACATTATTACTTGTCCAGCTGATTTGGGGAGAGGTTAGTATTTAAATGTCTTAAATGATAGACATTTAAAAGGTGTTAGAGCTGACTCATTTTGTAAAATGGACCCAAATCAAAGGTATTTTTCATTATATAGACTTTGTCTTTGAGATACTGATAAATTAGGCCCATCAAGCTTTGTTGTAACTTCAGTAGTCTGCTTATCTACTGAAAACTGAACTGTGTATTATATAGATCCTGGATTTGTTGGAAGGTAGCAATGCTCTATTAATATTTAAATTTTCTGGTTATTGATATTAATGACCCTTATGAGTCATGTATGTTTTATTAATTGCTGTAAACGCATTTCATTCATGTATCCTTCAAATTTTATTTGAATTTGGTTATTTCTAATGATAGCACCCTCTTAGTTTAAAATGGTTCTTCAATTTTTCTTAAAGTTTGTAAGTTGGTAGTTAAAATGTGAACATTCAAGAGATCTTTTTTATGAGTGTGAATTAACACGAGAAGAAAAACAGCTGGCAAATTGACAGTAGCATTGTTAAACAGTTCATTTCTTCTGTTCTAAGGCACCTAACATTTGGCCTAAAACTCCATTAAAATTTTAGATTAAATTCTATTAGTATTGTGTAGTAAAAAGAGTATTCTCTCCTTCTGTTAAATTAAATTCTTTGTGGGAACCTTTGTAAATTGCATTTGGAGATTTGTCTATGATTACCTTAGCTGCCTTTTACATGAATGCTTTTCTAATACCATTTTGAAAGTCCAGATATATATTATATGTATGATTTAACAATCTAACGTTCTTGATATCTTTTGTATACGTACATATAACATGTACACATATGGGGTCATAGACACTATTTTAAGGCCATGTCACTGCATTGGATATGATCATTCAGTTTGTTTTCTAAATCCTTACTAATTGTTAAAATGTACTTAGTGAAGATGCTGTACGATTTCATATTTCACTCAGTCTGGTCATATTTGATATTGAGCATTTCTCCCATTCCTGAGCTTTAAGTTTTCATCCTTATTTCTGTTAACTCTGAGGAAGTTTGGAAGACTTATAACTGATTTACAGAGTTTCATTTAGTCTCTTTGGAGGCTGTTTTTAACCGTAGTATACTTAGTTAAAAAAAAAAAAAATCATTCCTGGGGCCGTCCCATAGCTCACTTGGAAGAGTGTGGTGCTGACAACACCAAGTCAGGGGTTAAGATCCCCTTACCGGTCATCTTTAAAAAAAAAAAATCATTCCTGAGGGAGATGGCTTTTTTGTTTATTTCAGGCCACATAGTTACATTGCTTTTAAATATTTCATTGTGAGGTGGGATAATAAACCAGGCTTACAAAAAAAGTTGCAAAGACAGTACAAATAGCTCCTGTATATCCTTCAACCATCTTCCCCAAATGTTAATATAAAAATGAAAAAATTAGTGTTGTTACAATACTATTAATTAATCTATAATCCTTTCTTTACCATTTGTCCCACTAATGTCTTTTTTTCTGGGTCAGGGTTTAATCCAGGATTATGTAATGTGTTTAGTTATCATTCTTTAATATCCTCCAATCTGGAACAGTTCCTCAGTCTTTATCTTTCATGACCTTCCCACTTTTGAAGAATACTGGCCAGTTATTTTGAAAAAATGTGTCTCAGTTTTGGTTTGTCTGATGTTTCTTTGTGATCAAATTCAAATTATACATTTTAGCAAGAATACCAAAGAAGTTATGTGCTCTTCTTGGTGCAGAATATCAGGAGGAATGTAATGTTGATATGTCTGATGATTGATGATGTTAACTTTGATCACTTGGTTAAGGTAGTCTCTCCACTCTAAGGTTACTGTTTTTTCCCTTTGTACTTAATAAATTCAGGGGTATTTCAAAAAGTTCATGGAAAGATTTGTATTATCTTTCAATTCCATTTTTCTATGGATTTTTTGAAGTACCCTTGTTCTTACGAGAAACTTTGAGACATGCAATCCTGTTTCTCATACCATGTCTCCTAATCATTAATCTCCCACTGATGATTCTTGGTCACAACAGTTATTGTTTGCTATTTGCAAATGGTGATTTTCTCTTTTTATCATTCCTTCTCTACATCTGTCCACTGGAATTCACTATAAGGAAAAGCTCTCCCATTCATCTGTCTCTCTTTCTCTTTCTTTATATCAGTATGGATATTTTGTTCTCTGGTTTATGTCCATTATTATTATTATTCACTTTATTGCTCAAATTTTCTTAGATTTAGCCATTGGGAACTCCTTTAAGTTGGCTTCTGTATCCTTTTGACGTGAGAAGGTAGTTTTTGAAGAGGAAGAAAAAGGGTGCTCAGACTTAGCAAGGGTCAGTAATTGAGGTAGGATAAGTGGCATATGATAAGGTATGAGGTTTAGGAAGAGAGAAGCAAATTTGTGCCACGCAGGGTCTGTGTGCTGAAAGGTTGGTGCCAGCTGGAGACACATCTCCACATGCTGTCATAGCAATGATAGCCACTGCTTGCCACTGCCTTTTTTTTTTTTTTTTGACTGGTAAGGGGATCGCAGCCCTCGGCATGGTATGGTCTGCACCACGCTCAGCCAGTGAGCACACCGGCCATCCCTATATAGGATCCGAACCCGCGGCCTCAGCGCTACCAGCGCCACACTCCTCTGAATGAGCCACGGGGCCGGCCCTGCCACTGCTCTTTTGATCTTGGTTTCTTCATCAAATTGTTTGGTTTTTCTATTCCTGATGTCCAGATTGTATTTATTTTTAGCTCATCCTTCTCTACTTTGTTCCCTCAGTCTGTTTGCCCATCTCCTTCCTCTACTCCTGGATATTTGGCGTTTTTACTCTCTGTTATATCTCCTGGTTGTTTTATCCTATATCTTGATAATATGACATTTTTCTTACCTAAAACAATCTTATATTTTCTGTCAGTCTCCATTCAGGTATAGCTTTTCTAGGAAACTTTCCCAATTTGACCTACTCAGATTTTCTTCTGCTGCTTCTTTATATAATCACTGATTGTGATTTGATTACCTTAGCATTTTCCATCTGTACAGTCTAGAGTCTAGACTGGTTTAAGCTCCATAAAGCTATTGATGTTGTCTGTGTTTGTCCTCTCTCTCTCTCTCTCTCAAGGTATCGAGTGCATCATGTGATAGCTTTTTAAACTCAACCCAGAATTATCAGCATGTATCAATCCTATTTGTCCTTCTCTATCCTGAGGCTATATCATGTTTTGACTAGAGAGAGCTTAGGAGAGTTTCTTCTAGTATGTTTAAATTATCTGTGTAGAAAAAAATGTTACTGATATTTATTTCATTGTTTTTTATTTTTTAAATTATAGCCAGGATTGAACAGACAGAGTCTTTCTTTTGGCCTCAGCTTTAGTGATTTACTTTTTCCTGCCCAGAATCTTTTAAATCTCTTGAGCCAGGAGAATCCAAACAAATGACAAGTTCATAGTATTGTTGTCAGAGCACTTAATGTACTTTGAAAAGGGTATAACTTGCCCCTATTTTATCAATATAGATTTTTAAAATAATGAAAATTGATTTTAGTCAGTATTTTCATGTCCATATGTATTCCATGCATTTCATGTAACTGTTCTTGCTTGCAGTGATGGTGCCAATGAATGGAACCAGGTTTCTTGTTTCTATCGTAATGCTGCCTTTCTCAAGGGGCAGACATTTCATATTATGTCTGTTAACTATGGCAGTACAAAATATTGTCAACATCTACACATAGGGACCTAATGTGTGGTCCTTTAGCAGGAAAACATGCTTTTGAAACTGTACTATTTGTAATACAGGTATGCCTCAAATGCTGTCTCAAAACAGCCACACGAGGAACTGTGCATAACATTAGTCGAGTAGAGGAAAAAAGTGTTACTATTGTCAAGATATGTGCATTAAGTGTCATGTTTTTGTTAAGTTATTTTGATTATGCAGGTTACAGTAACTAATACTAATACTTGTCTGACTATATATTAAGTATGTTTTGACACATACTGCTAATAGCTGCCATTACTTCTAGATAACAAAACAGCTTCAATAAGATCAGAGAAAACGGCATTTCATTATAAAATGCTGATGTAATGGGTAAAAGTTTTTGTTTTATTTTCCAATAGTTTTAGTAACATGGAACAGACAAGAGAAAGATTGAATGTGTCCCTATAATACTGACTAAACTGGCATTTTAAATGAAAGTAAAATCCTTTTGTTTTCCACTGCATCCTCAGTTTACCTGTTTTGGCACAACTCTAAAGAAAGCCAATCTACTTTCCTTCCATGGCGTAGGAGGCTGGGTAGAGAATGAGACTATAGCTTAAGCAGTCATTCACAAAATCTTGCCTTCAAGTTTCTAGATGTTAGTCAGATTTCATTTAACTTAAAGCCCTTGTGGGGATTTTGTCTGTTTGTTTTTTAGGGTGACGCAGACTTACGATGCAGGCGCATGTATCTACTTCTATTTTGCCTTTAACTACAGGGGAATTAGTGACCCACTGACCGTTTTTGAACAAACTGAGGTAATTTTGCATACATGTATATAGCTTTTACATTCTTTTATTAATTTAAATAAACTTACTGTCAGTTTATGAATTTTAATTTGACTCTCTTTAATCACACATGATTTGCCTGGCTGCTAGCCTATAAAAATGGAAGCATATTTGTTGCACTGGATTACGTCCACTAAATTGTGAGTCTATAATTAATATTCAGACTGTGATTCTTTCGTGATTACTTACAGAACATATTAGCTGATTAAATTAAATAATAATAATGACTGTCTACACGAGTCATTCCAATCAAAATAATGAACATATATGTCACCCCCCAAAAGTTTGAGTATTTTTCATTATCTTAGCTTTGGTGTTGCTCTCTGACTACCCAAAGGTCCCTTCCTTGCAGTACCAAAGAGTGAAATTATTCCTTCTTTTCCAGTTCAAGCTGCCATTGTCCAAGTATTACTCATCTCAAGTAATTATTGCTTTATTTAAAGTAATTTGTTAGAAAATATAAGTCCTTAGCAGGGACTAGCGTATTTGCAAAACCCTAAAACTAAGTAATGAGGATTCTTATAGATTACTTTGCAATGCAGTATGGTCCCTCTGTCCTGTCTGTGTTCTCTTCTACCCTGACCTAACTCCTGATGGTTTGTATACACTTGAGTAATTCAGAGAGGTTCAAGGCATTATAGATATTTCACATCACAGCAATTATATATTCATGAATCTTTAGGAATCGAAAGTAATTCTAGTTTCCATTACCCGTTTTCACTCTGCATTTCAGTCATTCTATATTTTGTTTTAAGTGTTTATCATTCTAACCTGAATGTTCTATAAGGAGCTTAGTCAGCACCTAACATGTTAGGAGAATAAAATAAGGGTTTCGTTTTTTTATCCCCTCATGCTTAGATATTCATAGGACTAACAAGTAATTTGTCCAAAGTCATTGACTTAAGTGTTCTTTATAAGGGCTTTTATGTTTGATCCCTGATAGCTTTGTTAAGTAATCTTGACTCTTATGCCCACTGTGTGATATTAGGCTACTAACCATCCTAAACCTTTTTCTTTATCTGTGAAAGGGGAATAATTGTAATTATTCCACAAGGCTCTAGTGAAAATAAATGAGATACTGCAGACAAATTTCTTGGTTCATTTCTGGACATATAGGAAGCAGTCCGTAAATGTTATTCATTAATACTTGTTGGGATGATTAGAAGTTCACTACAAAGTAGAACCTGGCTCTGCATTCACAACTTCTGATTTATTATTAACAATTTAAGGCTGCTGAACTGGTCATTTTGCCCTTTCCCCCCCCAGAATCTCAAAGTGACCTTTGTAGATGTGATTATTCACTGGAAGGAAAACTTCAAAGCTAGGCTTTTTTTTTTTTAAACTGCTTTTTTAACACAGTTAATCTAAGAGAGAAGAAAATTAGGCTTCTACTTTATTATTTAACCCAGGAAATATGTGCCTCCTTTAGGAGTTGGGTCTTATAAGTAGCAATGATTTGTTCTTTTGTTTCCAAATACAGGCAGCTGCTAGAGAAGAAATCCTCGCTAATGGAGGGAGCCTGTCGCATCACCATGGAGGTATTCTTTTTTGGGAGTAGGATTTCTGGTATTCCTACTTTTAAGAGTGTTTGAATCAGCAAAATGCTGGAGACAGTGATGATTGAGTATTTTGAGAGCACTTGAGATCTCTTGAAAGTTTTTATGTCTTAGAATAGCTGTCACTGAGGTAGTTAGGTTGTGGTAGTAACCACCAGAAGCTTGATTGGCAAGACTGCCCTAGATATGGAACCTATCCAGCCTTCTCAGTGCTCAGTGACCTCATGTTACCAGAGAATAGCCCAGCTTGCCTGGTAGATATTTGACCACTGTAGCAAAAGTTTTTAAAGGAAAAAGAAATCCTTCCTAAATGTTTTTCAGCCACTGTTAGAATGTAGCCGGGCGCCGCTTGGGAGCGTGGTGGCGCTCCCGCCGAGGGTTCGGATCCCACATACAGACCGGTTCCCGCTCACTGGCTGAGCGAGGTGTGGGAGCAACACCGAGGGTTGCGGTCCCGTTGCCGGTCCCGGTCTGGGCGCGACACTGAGGGTTGCGATCTGTTGCCGGACACGGAAAAAGAC